ATGTGATAGCGAAAGTAGCATTCGTCAGAGTGTTTGCTGCATCAAAAGACAAATTAATCCTTTGAAGAAACAGAGCTTTTAAACATCTCCCATGTTCGACAGGAGGCAGGCTGAGCCGCACAGCTGGGAGCTGCACCCTGCATCGCAGGAGGACCTATGGGTGATGTGGCTTAGGGTACGGCTGCTCTCTTTTTGCTGGCTAAACCTTGCCCCTGATGCATGAGCTGCTTTTAGGCTGCTTTCCCTTCCAGCTCTACCTTAACACTTCCTACACCACGGTGCCTGCAGGGCTCACAGGGCAGATTCTTGCTGAGATGGCACGAGGGATTTTGGTGGCCGCCTCCCTCCATCCCCATCACCCCCAGCACTGTCCCATCGTGGCCCAAGCCCTCCAGGCTTCACAGCTCTGCAGCCCTCTCCCACCCACCACAAATATCTCTGCCGATACCTTGGCGATTTTGTAAATATTCTTGGAAAAACTTCAGCGAGCTGAGTGTTGCAGAAGGATCTCTGTTTCCTCTACTAATAACGCTCCACGAGAGGAATATAATTTTCTGTCATGGAAACCGGTGCTCTGGTTTTCAGTGTTTTTAGCCAGGATGGCTCTGCTTTTTCAATCTGCCATTTCCTGAGAGATGCCGTCTCCCCTCCGGAGCTCTCCGCTGGAAGGAAGCCTCTGAGTCACGCTGGCATTACACCCTGCTCCGCGCCAGCGAGGAGATAAGCGAGCGGCATCTCTCCAGATGGGAAAGTAACATCCCGCACCGCGTTAACCAGGGATATGCAGAAACGGGAGAATTTGCTACCTCTTCCTCTTGCCTCCTGGAGAGCACAGAGGTACTTAAGGCATCTTTCTATGCACCTATTGAACTCCTCAAATGTCTCAACATCTGCACCTCGTCTAACACAGAACAATAACAGATAACGATAACATCTCAGCACCCCAAATTGAGCTCATGCATCCTGGCAGGTAAGCCAGGCTGTGAGACACTGCGGTATTTCTAAGGCATATTGGATTTGCTGTAATTCCTTATTGCTCCAAGTTATTTCCCTTTTTTGTGCCTGCTTTCCCTATTCTACAGTTCATATAGATGGGTTTTAAGACACTTGAGGCGAACTCGATCCATATAGATAGCTCTCTATATTGATTCCGTATTGGCAAAAATAAAGGTACCAAATATTTTGTTAGCTCTGAGCCTGAGTGTTCCAGCTTCTGGCTTTCCCTGGAAGCATGTGCTGCTCCTGTGTGTTGGTGCAACCTGTTGGACACTGGGACCTGGAGCACGGCAGGCATCCCTCAGTGCTCCTGTAACGCAGAGGAATACACCCAGTGGAAGCAAACGAGCTTTGAGCACGTTGCTCTCCCTAATATTTCACCCGAGGAATCAGATCTTGGCAAATCCGTGGTGGAACAGCAAAAATCCGTCCAAAGGAGCGCTGCTGTTCTTCTGAAGTCACAGCTGGTGTGTGGATGGTGAACAAGGGGTGGGAGGCACTGGGGACAGGCGAGCACCAGCCCCAAGTGAGCACTTTGTTGCTGCAGGCAGGCAAGCCCCTGTCCCCAGCTGGAGCTCAGGAAAATTCAGACAACCCCAGAGCTTGAAAGAGGAAACGCTTTCAGGCGATGGAGCAGGTGTAGTCAACAATTTCACGTTTGACAGCCCTTCTTCAGCACTATCTGATACGTGTCTGTAATTAACACCGGGGTTTCTGGTGCTGAATAAGCAGCTGTTTCTCTGAAGGGCCAGCAGTGAGGGTAGGGATGCTTCTATTTTGCTTTTTTTTTGCTCTAAAAGCTTGGTGGGATGAGAATGCCCCTTGTCCCGCGGCTGTGTTGGGGGGCAGGCAGTGGCTGCTATTCCCATTTCACAGATGTGCAGACAGGAGGCGCAGAACAGGGGGAGGCAGAATTACATCCCAGTCCTGGGAATTGCAGGCTCTAATCTGCAGGCAGCTTTGCATGGATAACAGGATAGTACCACCCTTTTAGAAGAACTTTATCAGTTCTCTTCAGATAAGATTGCCAACACGTTAAATCAGTTTTCCTGGAAGCCTTGCAGGACGTGAGGTACCACGAGGATGTTTCCTTTCCCCCTGGATGTACGCGGGCACACACAGCAGGCGTTTCTGAGGCACTGGCAGAAGTGCCTGGTTTCTGGGGTTTGAAGTATTTCTTCCCCTGCTGCCTGGGGAAGGGACACAAAGAGCTTTGGAGAGGCTCTAAAACCCCGGCAGGGATCGCTGGGGACATTGGCTTTTGGATATATTCCTGTTTAGGTTGCAGACCCCGGTCCCCAGGCCCCATCCCAGCAGGGAAGGGGCACTCGGAGCAGCGCTGGCTGCGGCGGTGACGCACACGAAGGGCTCCCGGGGAAACACATGAGCGTTTTTTCATCTGAAGATATTTTAAAAGCACGAGAGAGATGGCCCGGGTGGGAAATACATCCTAACAGATGTGTAATATCATTAAAGCTGACTCTAATATAATCTAAGCCTCAGTTTGGTGTATTAATGCTTTGTTTATCTTTAAGCACAGATGGATATTTTTATTAGCATTACTTTGTTGATGCAGCTTCTAGAAAGGTTAGTCCGGAGGGCAGATGTCTGTGTTACGAGGGAGCGCTCATGCTGGGACGACTAATCAGAAAGGTGCAGCTTTTCCATGAAATTCCAATTAGGAAATTAAACCTTGTACGCACAGGCAGCCAGGATCTGCTGTTTAGTCCACGTGGCCAATTCAGATGAGTTGGAAAATTTCTTGGTCCCCAAACCCATCCAGTGGCTGGATGTCTCGGCTGTTCCTGCACCCTCCTGGGATTTATTCGATCCTGGCCATGCCCGTAGCCATGGCGAGAGGGGGCTGGTGGTGAAATAGGTGCTACAGGTGCTGCTGAGCCAAGGATGCTGCTAGCAGGACAGGCGTCGCATCTCATGGCCAACATCCCTGTTAGGATCTGTGATTTTAGGGGTAAGTTGATGAGCATGGTGGGATGGGACTGAGGCTGGGACAGCATGGGGACCACGGGGCTTGGTTGAATATTTGCAGTGGAAAAAGTGAGCTGAACTACTCTTAAATGCAGGGCAAACTGGTTTTTGCATCCAGTTGTCTCTCCTTGTAGCAGACTTCAAAATAAAATGTGCTGAAGACATTCTTATTAAATCCAGACCCAGATTTCTGGCTTGTGAGAGAGTCCAGACCCATTACAGTCGATTGGAGGTTGCTCATTAAATTAGACCCAGGAGCAGGAGCCAGTACTGGTTTCCTCACATTTCCTGGTTCCTGTCTGAGAGGATAACACCTGCTTGGGTCAGGGCACCTGCGGGATGCCCCGAGCCTGGGGACCCTGGGACCCGTGTGGGTGCCACCTTGTGCCTGGTGCAGGGGCGATGGAGGAGGTCAGGGCTGAGCCGTGTGGCTCCCATCTCATGGGACCCTCCTCTGAGACCCCAGCAGAGGGAAGAAGCCTGAGTTCCCACTGCATCGTTCCATCAGCTGGAAGGGAAAGGCAGACGTCTCCCATTGCCAAAAGGTTTCCCACATTTTCCATTTTCTCTCTTGCCGAACAGGGGGGAAGAACAGCGCAGCCTCGAGGAAATCTCCAAGGGGAGCTTCTGTTTCCTTTAACCTGCTGAAAGGGTCTTGGTATTTTCCCCCTCTGAGGTGCTGCTTTAGCTCAAGAGGTATCAGAGCAGCCCCTGTAGAAGAGATGCCTCCCCTGATGCAGCTGCATCACAGCCTGCCCAGCTGCCCCAAACTGCCTGGTTCTGCAGCCAGGACAGGCGCTCGCCTCTCCCTGCTCCTGCCCCGAGTTCATGCCATGGTTCTCACTCTGGGGAGCAGCTTGTTCCTAGGAGAACATAATAATCATGGGACTGCAGCTGTGAGGTCCATCATCCACAGATCTTAGGGGAGGAAGGGATAAGTGTCTGTTTTCCAGGGATTTCAACTTCTCCAGGCCTCCTTCCCCGCGGCTCAGCCTGTCGGTCACTCAACTCCTCGGCTCCCATTCCAAAGAGGCAAAATTTCAGGGAAAGCAGCTGCTCGGGCCCCAGAGCTGGCGATTTTTTGCCACAGCATCGTGCTGGCAGAGCAGAAGTGAGAGGCAAGGGAGTGTCCTGGGTCCTGCAGGGCTGGCGGGCAGAGCAGGAAGCTCTGTTCGGCTCTTGCAGTGATGCTGTCACGGCCCCTTAGACAGCCAGGGCCTCACTTTGGGGACTGCACCCCTCTGGTCTGACAGAGGGCACCGCACGTCTCCCACTGCCGCATGGCATCGCGGAGGGAGCTCAAAGGGAGAGGGACTCCCCATTTAGTCATTTTGTTTCTGAGTTAAAGTTAATTGAAAATGCCTCTTGAAGATAAGGCTGGCTCGAGCAAGATTCTTGATTTGAGTCCTGCCAGAAGGTTATTGCCTGGCTGGAAACAAAAAAAAATAAATAAAAAGGCAGGAAAAAGCAGACAAAAAAAAAAAAAAAAGGAAATAAACAGCAGAAATTGGAGGTTTTGAAGAAGGCCTGGGGCCCAGCAGCACACCCTGTGCTGCTGCTCCAGCTGGTCCATGTGGATGGTCTGGATCCAGAGTAGAATGACGAGGAGTTCTAGGTCTGTCACTCTCCTGCAATCTTTTACTCCAACCTCTTGCATTTAAGCAGTCTATTAGGAGCACAGAGATTGCTTTTTGGGAATCACCCCCCAGAAGGCAGAAGCAGACTCATTTTTTTCAATATCTCATACTGGGCATGTTTTCTCATAACCTTTCCTATCTTTGTATGATCTTTAGAAGTAGATTTATCACCTTCCTTTAATAGTTTTTTTTTTCCTTCTTCTTTCGTAGCTACCCCAAACCAGGCTGGTTTGGTGTCTAAGGTCCCAGCTTTCTGCCCTTCCCAAAAGCCTCTGAAAAATCTGGTGGTTAAGTGGAGGCAGCTGTTTGGGTTATTTTCTTTCACCCGTGTGAATGTTCGCTGCATCATAATCCCCTTTACAGAAAAAACAGAGCAATCACAAACACATCCAGAAGCTACAAATCCCAGAGAAGTTTAGAAGCACATTTCTGCTTTCTTCTTATAACTTTTTCTCTCTTCACTGTTTGTGCCTAAATATGACTGATTTTGAATGAATGGTCCAAAATCAGCGGCAGAAGACCCCCTTGGAGCAGCACGGAGAATCTGGCTCTCCCGTCCTGCCCTTCGGGGCTGGATGTGAACCACATTTAAGCAAAGCAGGGCGGCTCACCCACCCCGCAGGCAGCCCCGGTCTGCAGCTCTGGGGAGGGCTGAATGCCTCATTCATCTCAGTCTTAACTCTGAGGCCTACAGATGATATTTTAAGGAAGAATTTTGCAGGTAATCAGCCTTGGTTCGATACACTGCCAAGTAAAAATAAGGATTTGTTGACGGATGCAGGGGAACGTCTCGCAGTGCTGAATGCGCCAAGGACTCCACCTTCACACGGCAGCCCTGGAGCAAAACCGATTTTCGTGCCTGCACAGAGTATCGCTTCCATAAGAAGGTGCATCCTTCCATTTGGAGACAAAAACATTTATTTTTTACGTTCCTCTGCTTCTCCTTCCACTGCTTTCATCCTGAGCATGGGCGACCTCCACCCCGTCAGCAGGTGAGGCAGTTTCCGTGCAGGCACAGCGCTGCGCTTCCTCCCCCCGCACCGCGCTCCTGCCATTAACAGGTGGCGAATGAAGCTGGCTTCACTCATATGTTTTGCATCAATTTGCATCATCTACTACAAAGCTATTACAAATGAATCTGTCAAGCCTCGCTGGCACCTCTCAGGATAAATGATGCGGATCGGGAGCCGGTGCCCACCGCGCCATCCACCAGCGCCTTCAGCCTGAGGAATGTCTCCGCAAACATCTGTTGGAGCTCGAGGAGAGATGGCAGAAGGGGGAAGGGCAAATCCCCAGTAATGGATGTTCTTGGAGTTTTTGGGAGCTCGGTAGGAGAGAGGAAGTGGGGCAGTCGCTCATCACTCGAGCCAGGTGATTATTAATTATCCCCACACATTGACACAATTTGCTAGTTTTCAGGGTAGGTGGATCCTGCGCTTAGTCATCCTGCCATTTTTAAAGATGAATGAAGAATTACCCGGGGTGTAGAGCCAGGAGTGAGAAAGATAAATAACACCGAGGAGCTGATCGCTGCCCGTCTGTCATAAAATTTCATTAGTTCTGACAGCTTGTACAACATAAGCAATGAATGAATGCTAACTACACTTCCTCTCCGTCTGCTTCCATATTTCACTCGTATTGCTTAGCTCGGAGAAAGAGCTGGCCAGACAAACCCTGAGGATGGAGGGAGCTGCTGGACCGTTCATGGGATCAGGATGCTGCTTGGAGCAGGACCACTGCAGGGGCTAGGTTTATTGGAGAGCGTTTGCCAAGAGCGTTTTTCGCTGGGCGCAGCTGGGAAGGACAGACGCGGATCTGTGCGGGTGTCCAAGAGGATGGCGTTCCCTGCAGTGCTGCTGACAGCGAGGGGGCTGAGACGACTTCATCTCTTCAAAGGCAGCTCTTTTGCTGGAGTAACACTTTCTTCAGTTGGAAAATGGTGAAAATAAAGTCAGAAAGAGGGTGATCAGGATCTTCACCATACCAGGCTTCATGGTGGTGTGTTTCTGTCTCCTCAATCCATGCAATGGCAGCTGTTGTGAAGCCCTGACCTGTGTCACTTATGTTTCAGCTGGAAACTCGCAACGGTGACCTCAAGCCTACTGAAATATCCATCAGCCCCTGCTTTGGGCTATCAGAGCAGTTCATTTTTGGGTGTGTAGGCAGCTGAGACAAGTTAGGGTTCTCCCACCTACAGCCATACCCTAGAGCCACTTCTGCCCTTTTCATCTTTAAGTCCTAGGTAATGAAAATAAATATTTCGAGGTCTATAATAATGACACGGAATGGGATGTTTTGATCATATTAATTGCTCAGGCTGTTGCAATACTGGATCACAAATCAATGTTTCCCCAGTGGCTGGCTCAGCCTCCCCGTGCACGTTTAAACAGATGTGACCTTGATGAGGAGAGATACTGGGGGCTCGAGGCAAGCTTGCAAGACAGATGAATGTGCTCTGGCAGATTTATGAGGAGTTATTCCTCGGTGTAGAAAAGTCCATCTTCTTTCACCTAAACGCTCCTCCAAAAGTGACTTTTCCTGTGTACAAAGCACGAGCAGTCTGCAAAGCTAGTGACAATGTCAGGAGGTCTTTAAGGAAAAATGTTTCCTTGGGTTAGAGCACAGGGGCAGCAAAGCGAGAACAGAGGTGTGATTCATTCAGAACAAGGTGTCCTCGTTCATTTATAGCTCTCCACGTAAAGGATATCCTGCTCGGACAATGTGGGCACTTTCTTTTAATCTGTCCTTGCATCACAAGAGATCTTGGGTTTCTTCCTGTGCAACTGAGACTCTTTCATTTAGTGTCACCTTCTGTCATGCCAAGAAAACCCACAGCAGCCTGTGGGGTTGAAAGGGGTGTCTGTAAACACGTGTTTACTGAAACTGCTGGTAAACCAGCCTCTGAGTCATCCTCTCCTCGGGCTGTGTGTTTCAATTCTTCCTCGTCTCAGGCAATAACATCAGGCTCTCGCTAGTTCCTGATAAAATTAGGGATTAAATGCTCAAATACCGTGTGTATGCATGAGAGAGGGCAAGATAGAGGTAGGAGGTCTGCTTGGGGTGAAAATGCTTTGCCTCTTTAACCTTCTGAAAAGAAACAGCTGAAGTAACTTAGTAAATACTAATAACAGGCCTAAGGATGATGTATTTAAAACCTTTAATTAGCATCAGTGCTGCCTGGGACCTATCTGCTCCTTGTTGACTTAGGAAGGGCCACGTGCTGAACAGGACGTGTTCTGCTGCATCCACCCTGCAGTCCCTGCCCCTGGGAGCCTCTTGCAGCTGCATCTCATGATGCCAGAGCCAATCCTCTGGATTCAAACCTGGGATGACTTTGGTATATTCTCCTCAAGGTCAGTACTGATGTGGTCTCATAAACATTAAGGGTTGATTATGATCTTCTGGTCTCATATTCCTAGCCTCTCGGACTTGTCTGGACTTATTCCTGTTTGAACCACAGTATGGAAAAGCATCCCATCCTGACCTCAAAATTTCTAGCAATGGAAAAGTCTACCATAACTTCTGCAACTACCAGAATTTCTGTAAGTTCTTCCAAAGATTAATTAGGGTCGCTGCTAGGAGGAGGGAAAAAGAAGAGGGGAAAAAAAAAAAAAAAGCAAAAAAGCATGTCTACATTTGTTTAGCTTCAGCTTTCAGGCCACCTGGGGAGAGCGGCTATAAATGCCTTAGGGTGATTGTGGTTGAGTAGATTTTCCTCCATTACCAGGATGGAGAGGTTGAAATGGATCATATTGGTCAGGTAACCCTCACTTGAGAGGCCCGATTAACTTGATGGATGGGGTTATAAAAGGTGAAGCCTCTGCAGGAAGAGGTAGCCCTCCTGGGGAGGGAAGTGAGGATTTCCTGGCTTGTGGGACTCGACACCTCCTTGGTTAGAGGGCAGCTGAAGTGCAACTGTCATGAAGGAAGGGGTGAGAATTATCTGTCCCAGTGAAGGGGTGTAGGAAGTCTCGTGCTGTGAGTTAGGAGGGAGAGACGTGGAGGGGACTGGGATGGGATTCTACAAATGGGACAGACCTTCCAGGGGTGGTTGCATGGTCAATGTGTTTGAGTCCTGCCTGCTAAGGTGGAGTAACAAAGGCAAGAGCAGAACAAGGACTTCTTGTGCTTCATCTTCAGTGCAAAAGGGCCCTGGGTCCTATGAAAATGCAAGTTTGGTTCTGTCTCAGATGGCCACATCCAGATTTTTCACAGCTGCAGGGAAGATCTTCCTAATGACATCTATAATTTGTTGACATCTTGCCGCTGTATCCCTTCTGAATCCTTGTTTTCCTGTCTTTACTGTAGTTTCTCTGGCTGACATTAATTTACCTTGATTTGAAATCTGGGCAGTCCATTCCCTTGATCCTGTGGAAGCCTTCTCCATGTGCTGATTCCACTGTGCCATCGTTAGAAACAGCGTGACTTGTGCAGCAGGTAGCTCGGCAAGAGTCAGATCAAGGTAGCACGTTAGGCAGGGTAACTTCATGAATTCACCTTTTTTGGCTTTAAACTGAAAATATCCCCAGTTAGCACCTTTTCTGCTTGTGAAGGATATGTAGTCCCCAAAAGGTTGCAAGTTCATCAAGCAGGGGTGCTCGCTGCTAGCGACACAGTCCTTCCTTACCATCACTGTGCCTTGGGTTTGTGAAAGTTTAATTATCAAAGCAATCATTTGTCCAGTGTTGAAAAGCTGCGAGGAAAGAAAGAAAAGTCAATATGTTTGACCTCACTTCTGGGAGAGAAACTCCTGGGAGCCATTACAAGTCAACTGTGGAAGAATCAACACACTGATTTTAATGGATGAGTCTGAAACAAATTCTTTCCAAGAGCCAACATTCTTCTGTTCTCCAGCTCGCACCCGAATGAGCAGAGATTTGAGATGGTCCTCTGCCTCCTCGTGTGTCTGAGGACAGAGCAAGGGGATAAGTGGAAAATAATTTATCTGACCTTAAGGGAAATGAAGTTTGTCAGGATTTCCTCACAGTTGCAAAACCAGCAGTGAGATATTCAAATGTGGCCAGACGTGACACGCTCATTTTTCTCACTTAGGTCCTGGTTCTGGCAAACATCTTGGGAAAGCACTTCAGTATGTGCTGACGCTTAGACCTGGGTGCAAACCCCGTGCAGACCAGTGAAACTCAAGCACGTGCTTACAGATAAGCATGAATGCACTCAAGTGCTGTCCTGATTAGGGCATGTGCTTAAGTGGCTCCTTGAGTTGGAGCCTCTGGCTTTGAACAGGCACTCCTATTCTTCGTGTGTTATGCAGAAGGAACTAACCAAATACGAGCTTGTTTTCTGTAGCACTGACCAGAACCACCTCAAGCGCCAGGGCAGCAGACATAAGCAGGAAAATTGACTCTGATCATCCCTGGGGTCATTTAACTAAAACACACATTTCAGTCGAGCCAAGTGTTCGCCAGCGCTTTTCAACTCCCCTGGTGTCAAAACAATTAGCAGATCACAGCAGCAGCGATTCGCTGGTGCTCCAATAAAAGCATCTGGCCAGCACATGGGTATCTGACACCAGCTCCTAAGCTCCTCCACGCACCGTCCGCTGCCTGCAGGACAACACGGCGTGGGTGACTCTTGTATCTAAGGACAGATTATGCCATTCAGCTTTTCAACCATTTGAGAAAAGATTATTGCCTTAATTCCTAGTGTGTCTAAAATGAGGTGGGGAGCGTTGCTTCGGGCGCTGTTTGCAGGGCACTGCATGAGCTCTCACATCTGTGTTTTCAACACAAGCTGCAGAATCCCCAATATGAATTGGCACTGTTCAAGCTAGAACCCTGCAAGAGGCACGTAAACCTACTTTTAACGGGTTACCTCAGATTTAATCAACAAGTTGCTGCTTCTTTTTTTTCCCCTCCTCTCTAATAGCAAGAATTCCTCCCGTTAGCTGTACTCCCATCCCACCTTGGCTACTCCAGTACACAGAATGTGATACTGAAGAAAACTTTTGTCTGGATGAAATTGTAGCTGTCTGGTTGGGAATATACAAGTGTATGCTGACCAGCCTTTACAAGGCATAGGGAAACAGAGTCAGCCTGTGTGGGTGAAAGTTTGGGGACTCATTTATGCTCTTGACATTCTGATACAAAACCAGAAAAAACAGCGGTTTGGTAATGTGTGTATCCCAGAGCAGCTGTGGCACTGTCTGAGCTGCTGCTGTCCTCCAAATATCATTCCTATCGGAAAGAAATAGGCTACTTACATCTACTTACACCAGTGCATTTCTTTGATGCTCCCATGATTTACAAACAGGGACGGAGTGAGCCCCCCTGCACGCACCTTCTGTTGGCTGCTGGTGGCTTTGGTTTGTTGTTCTCATCTCCAAACGGGATGGAGGCTGCAAATATCCTCCAGCATCTCCTGCCAAGCAGTCTGTGAGAGAGGCCAAGCAGACAGCAGATCTTCTGAAATATAGCCTAAAAAGCTGAGCTGCAAATACTTACCCAGCAAGAATAGGACACAGATAGATTGTCAGATGATTATAAAGGTCCCATTCAGGCAGAAATGGATCTCATTAATCAAATGCATTTTTCACATAGCTTCGGACCTGGCTGAAAATATTCCTTCTCATTTTCTTATATGGCATTTATTAACACAGCTATTAGCTATGTTAATGTAACCTCAGTGGTATTTTCATTGACTCCTAACAGACACTTCTTGTGTATACCACACAGCAAATGTGACCAGAAGGAATCTGACGCAACCAACCCTTCCTTTGCAATAAACGCGGGATCCAAAACAAACCTTTGGTGCTCCCAGCATCGCTGCCCAAGGAACCAGGCATCCTGCAAATAAATACTGAATTGCAAATCTGTGGTAAGTTGCGAATAAATCTGCCTCACCTGAAGTGGAAGAGAAAGCGGAGTTCAAGGCTGCTGCTGAATTGGTGGCCAAATGCCAACACCATTCACTTCAGGGCAGTATAAAACGGTTCAGCTGACAGGCTGACCCACTAGGCCAGCAAAATAAGGCCAATAACTTTATCTCTAAGCCCTGCAGCAGCCCTGGGCCCTGCTGAGTGGCATCCACCTGCCCCCACAGGCCAGGCACTCGTGCAGGACCCCAGCCCCGCTCCCAAAGCGCTCTCACTTAGCGATGCTGACGGTCGGTGCTCTTTCCACACCTCTTTTCTGCATAGCTCCTAGAGCTTACTCATTTGCAGTCTGTGGGCTTCCTTGCTTGCCTTTCCATTTACATATTTTGCTTCACTCAAATGCTTTTCAGTCTGTGCTGGTGTTATTTTTTGCGTTCTCTTCCTGTGCATGCAGCAGCACACCTTGCCTAGCCCCGCAGCAACAGCGTGCCCATTAGCTGCAGCTCGCAAACAGCAAATGAACTAGGTCATAAAACGTGCGCGGGGAGGAAATTCATTACAACATCGCATGCCAAAACATTTCAGACCCAGTGTTGTGGGGATTTTTTGTTTGTTTTGTTTTGTTTTCAAAGCCACGCGTGCAAGCGCTGGAGTGCCATCTTAGCATGTAATTGCTTTTTTCCCCTCTGCTGTCCTTGTGGTAGAACATCTGTTGTCTTATCACTCGCTGTCCTCCTTGGTGCCTCTCAAGAGGTACCTGCATGGTGCTGGTGTAGCGGTTCTGCTCTCTGCCTTTCAATGTTCCCCAGGATTTGTCACCCTTTGTCACTGGGTTGCCTCTTTCTGTCCCATTTCAGCACCTCTAAGCCTCGTCGCTTTGCTTGACCCTCCCATCTTATCAGTGCTTGAGAGATTAAGGGTCCTCCCTGGACCTCACACCTCCAAATGCAAGATGTTTGCCTTGTTTCCTTTTCCAACTTGTCCATTTAACCAAGCAGGGAAGGACTCGTGCCGGCACATACGGGAGGCACGACCTTTGGGAGGAGAATTCCTTTTTCTATGTCAAAGATCAGGAAAATTGAGGTGCAGAGAATTTGTCTGCCCCATAGCAGCCATGAGATGCCTGTGGCAATCAGAAACAGGACCAGAATCCCTGGTTCTCATTTTCTCACCCCAAATCATCCTTCCATCCAGTGGTACTGTTGTGAGCCCCATCACTGCGTTATCCTTCAGTGCCTCTCCCTCAAAATTCCCTAAAACGCTTCAGCACAAAGCAGAGGGGTCACGATGGGGCAGACAGGACCTAGTCTAGATGTTCTGGGGAGTGGGTGGCCCCAGGTGAAGGACAGTGCTCCTGCTGCTCCACGGTGGCACATCCCTGCTGTCCCCAGCAAGGTAGGCACGGGGCCAGCCGGGTGTCCCCATCGCCTGCTGGGCTGATTTTGTCACCTCCTGAACGCCCTCTGTGTTTTGGCACTCTCCCTCCCCGCAGCTCCTAAAGCTGGAGGTTCTGGTGTTTAATTTCTGCGGGCACCAGGTCAGATTTATCCCTAACAGGAGGCCACTGCTCCCGGGCTGTCCTCAGGGCTCCCTCTGTACCCTGCCTGTCCCCCGGCCCTCATGGCGCTGCCTTCCAGAGGTGCAAATTCTCCATGCGGGGTCAGTCTGGGGTCTGTCTCGCCCATCCCATCTGCCACTGGAGGCTTCAGAGCTGAGAACCCCCAAATCTGTGTTTAAAGGCTGAGGACCCCCCGTTGGTGGCTGTGTCCCAGCGCCGTGCCGTCACGCAGGAACCGGTGCAGCTCCAGTTCTAATCCCTGGGTGCCGAGGGTGCCGTGGTTCTCTTTGAAAAGATTTCCTGCTAATCTCTCCGGTGTCTGTGACAAAGGAAAGTTCCTCGGCATTACCTCAAATGTTAAAATATTAATGAGGAGAGGGTTTGGTGGCTGGCAAAAGCTGCCTTTGCTAGCACTGGAGATGGACTTAATGATCTCTGTGCCTTTGCTACTGCGAAATGAACATCTTACACAGGAGAGATTAGACAGACCTGACACCTTTAATAAAATACGGCCTGTATTTCTACAGATGTATTTAAAGTCATTTAAACCCTTTAATGTTTTATGAAATAGCAAAGCTTGGTGTGAATCTATTTAGAATGGTCTTTAAGCGCCGCAGTGGGTTTTATTTCGCCCCAGCTCCCGTTTGTAAGGTGCTCGCTCCCTATATCATGTTTATATATGTATAATTTTTTTTCCACTCAGATGACTTTTTGAAATGAATAAAATGCTCATAAAAGGTGCATGGTTGATGGCACTACAGAGTATAGCCAAGAGTTTTGAAACAGGCTGCCTGCGTGAATCTTAAATCACTTTAGGGGCTGAAGGGAGCCGCCTGACTTTCCCCTGGCCCGGCGCAGCAAGCGCTGCCCGCTCTCAGCATGAACTGGGACCGCTGCTGGTGCCTCGGGGAGCCGGGGACCTTGGCTGGACATCGGTCCTTTGGTTGGCCTCATGTGCTTTGGGGTAAGGACAATGCTACTGTTATTTAAAGAGGAATCTACGAAGGCGATGTGGCTTCAGCTGTGTCCCCAGAGCTCAAACAGCTCTGCTTAGGGAAGGCAGGTGGGGAGCCCTGCCGTGGGGGATCTCCCGGCTCCCTCCAGCACATCAGGAAGCAGCTCCCACAGCTGCCAGGGCACTTTGGGGCCTCTCCTCGCACACAAGGGCTCCAACAAGACAACCACTAACACATGCTCAGGCAAGATCCATCCATCCCATCAGTGGGACTGGTTCCACCAATTGCAAAATATGTTTCTAGTTGCTGAGACAAGACCAAGAGGATGGGGCTGACCCCAGAGCCTGCTATGCAGGGACTGTGTTACAGCATGGTGCAGACCCCCGGGGCTCACAGTTGCTGCAAAACCACTCTCTGCTTCCCACATTTCTTTGAAGCTGGATTTGCATTTCATTTGCTTTTGTTCCAGTGCCCCCAAAGAGCCTTTTTTTTTTCTTTCTTTCCTAGAAGGAGCTGGCCAGAGCATCTCACAGCCACACATCCTTGGTGGATTGGCTCAGAAGAGAAGCTCTGAACTCGGGCTTTGGTTACATCCAGCCAAGAGCTGGGCTGAGAGCAGGAGCCGTGCCTGCCCGCGGCCACATGGGCATGGGGAGCACCCAGCTCTGCTGCTAGAAGTGATGGCCCCCTGGCAAAGGGGCATGCAAATGTCTCAAACTTTCAGTCTTTTCTCCAGAAAGCACACCTGGTGTCTGATCCGCAGACACTGGTGACTTTAATAAGAGCAGCAGCTCCTGCCATTAATGCCCCTCTTGTTTTTACATTTTGTTGCAACATCTTAGGATAAAAATACATATATTTGCAGCTGAGCTTATAGAAAGCTGCTTTATGTAGGCACAGCCCCTTCGCTGGCCGCAGTCTTTTGGCCAGGCAGGGTACAGTCAGTGTCTTGTAAGCGTCAGGGGAGCGGGTTAGCAGCTTTCCCCATAAAACCAGCTCAAAGCCTTTCCCTGTTGCTGCGCGTTTAATTTCCACATTCAGAAGCTGGTGAGAGCAAAGGCAACTTGCATATGGAAACTTTTAATTAAACTACTAATATAGAGTCGAGTCGTTTCTGGTGGAGGTTTAAGTAGTCTGTGGGAGAAGTGCTGAGTTGTGGGAGAGGAAGGCAGCGTTTGTCTCCAGCCCTGGAATTTGTCCATTCATCAAGCAGTCGTCCCAGGAGTTGAAGCTGATCCAATTGCGTGTCAACAACATTGGCCATGCCTCATTAGAAATCAGTTGTAAAAAGTTTTTTAAAAGAGCATTAATTCATCTAGCTTCTTTTTTCCCCCCCGCCTTTGCTTTGGATTTTCATCACCCTTAGTGAGAATTTTAGGGGAAATTGTTTCTGAATGGCTGTTTTCCAGGGCAGACAATTTCTTTTTTCTCTGCCTCTGGTAGAAATGAAGGCCATTATTTTTAAAATCGAGTATCCAAAGTCAGGATCCCAAACCCACAGCCTGGTTTGCAAGCTGAGCAACAAAGGGACATCCAAGGAGCTCGTCCCGTCCAGCACCGCGCAGTTCCCGAAGTGCATCGCTCCACGTCCCCCATCTCTATAGCTCCAGCTCAGCTTCAGCAAGGCAATAAACCATCAAGAATTGGCTGTATCTAGATTTCCTGCACTTTTCTTCATGGCACTGACGTTACTGCGGGTAGAGGGTGTTGGGTTACCCCATGGGGATGGGGATGGTTTAGTTTATTCTGTGCAGATGTATGTGGGTGCACCTCCTGTAGGGCACCACGGGAGGGGATGCAGGGTAACCCTTCACACACCCGCTCAGGGCAGTGCAGATGGCTGCTGTGGGCTTTGCCACATTCCAGCCCAAATTTCCTGGTGGTTTCTACCCCTCTTGGTTGCTCACATTCACCTGGGGGAAATGAACGCTCCTGGTACGCGAAGAGGGCAGAGAACCACACGCTCCCCTTGTCACGCCTGGAGGTGCCAGCGAGCCACTTGCCTTTCCCAGCACTTTTTGAGGCTTTTTTTATTTATATTTCTTCCCCATTGGGATGAAATGAAGGCTTTCCCAGTGCTTTGTATGGAAGCAGCTTTGTGTTGCAACCCTGTGCTCACAGCAGAGCTGGAGTGCCTGCT